TGTTGAAGTGTAAATTACAATCTTTCCAACTGCCCCCAATCCTTCACTAAAAATTAAATTTTAGCTCACAAAACCTGAAAACAGCCAAAACATCCCACTGATCCTAAATGTCTTCTCCAACATGAACACTATAGATTCCAGTTTTTATGGTTTCACAGTAAGTGTGCAAATAATACACCTTTAACCTTCCCACAGTTAATTATTTATTCTCTTCACCTCCACTACAATTTCCCATCTGAATGCACCTCATTACTATGAATAGTCCCTCAGAGTTATAAATTCAAAAGCAAAAGTCTTTCTTCTCAGGAAAATTTTTTATTTTCTAACAGACTTCCTCCCCATAGCTGCCATTTCCTATAACATAAAAGGCTTTTGTTTGGTCCGACAACCCTAAGACCTTTTAATATATGATCACCGATTTCTGTTCACGTCCTTTTGAAATCTGAAAAACCGCAGGTTAAACCTAATATATCATCCTTCCTTTCACATTCAAATTCAAGTAATGTGTAAAATAATTTTGGAACATTATATCATCTATTCCTTTATTCATATGGATACACTGGACTGTAGCTTTTTCTTCAACATATCATTAACCATTATTCTTCAACCTGAGCCACAGAAGATTTTCCATTTTTAAAATTTATTTTTTAGAGCCCGATGTGGGCTTATCTCACAACCCAAGAACAAGAAGGGGCGTCTGGGTGGCTTGGTTGGTTAAGTGACTGACTCTCGATTTCAGCTCAGATCCGGTCTGCATTGGGCTCCATATTCTCTCTCCCCAAGGCCCCTGGGTGGCTCAGCGGGTTAAGCATTTTACTTCAGTTCAGGTCATGGTCTCATGGTCCTGGGGATTGAGCCCTGCATTGTGCTCTGTACTTGGTGGTGGTGGTGGTGGTGGGGTCTGCCTTCCCTCTCCCTCTTACCCAGATAAATTAAACCTTAAAAAAAAAAAAATTCTCCCTCTGTCCCTTCTCGTACTCTCTCGAAACAACAAAAACAACTATATAATGTGCACTTTGTCTCCCTTGATAAGTTAGTAAAAAAGATTCTCAGTGTTCTGTAATTTGTTCAGATTACAAGTAAGGTAAATTCCACTAAATGGCCTACAGGAGAGCAGGAAACGTTCAACAGAGAAGTTCCATATCGACTTAGGAGTTAAAGCTTGGAAAGATGAACCAATTTTGCTTCAAGTGCACTGTATTCCCTCATACTGCATTAAAAATAAAATTCCAGATGGAGTGCAGAGCTAAATATGAAAAACAAAATGAAATTTAGGAGGAAAAAAGAACATGTTCATTAATCTAAAATGAGCCAAGATTATCTTAAATAGGATGCAAAACTGCTAACTAGAGGCAGCTGGCTGGCTCAGTTGGTAGAGCAGGAGACTCTTGATCAAGTTCAAGCCCTATGCTGCCTATATAGGTTACTTAAAAAGATTAAAAAACAAAACAAAAAAACCTGAAACAACAACAACAACAACAACAAAAAAACCATATAAACCCTCCTAACCATTAAAGGGAAAATATTGCTAAGTTGGATTACATTAAAACTATGCAATACTGGGGTGCTCAGTTGGTTAAGCCTCTGCCTTCAGCTTGGGTCACTATCCCCAGGTCCCAGAATCAAGGTCCATTTCAGGCTCTCTGCTCAGTGCTGAGTCCGTTTCTCCCTCACTGCCCCTCACCACTGCTCATGCTCTCTCTCAACACCTAAGTAAAATCTTAACCCCCCCCCAAACAAAACAAAACCTATGCACTCCTGTTTCTAAAGATATCACTAATAGAGTGAAAGGGGAAGCCACTGAGGGTGAAAGGTATCTGTAATACACATATTAGAATTAATCCACAATATATTAAGAACTCCTACAAACTGCAAAGGCATTAAAAAAAAACAAAAAAACAACCAGGCAGCATTTCACAAAAGATACCCAAATGGCAAATAAAGATATGAAAGGATGCTCAACTCTATTAGTCCGATGGGAAGTATAAACTATTATACACCCTCAATAGCTAAAATTAAAAAGATAATACCAAGTGTTGGATGAAGATATGGAGCAACTAGCACCATCATGCTGGATATATATATGCACAGCTTATGACTTAACAATTCTACTCCTAGGTGTGTATGTAACAGAAACACATACATATTGCTCACACAATATGGTATACTAAATGACGTATTAGTGTTCATACTATTATGAACATACTTGTTCATAGCAACATACTTGTATTAACAATTAACAGCCTATTTGCTTAAAAAAAGGAGAAAAGGAGGGGCGCCTGGGTGGCTCAGTCGGTTAAACGTCGGCCTTCAGCTTTGGTCAGGATCTCAGGTCCTGGGATTGAGCCCCATGCCAGGCTCCTTGCTCAGCCAGGAGTCCACTTCACTCTCTCCTGAACAACTCCCCCACCCCTGCTGCCTTGCGCACCCGCGCTTTCTCTCGTAAATAAAATCTTAAAAAAAAAAAAAGGTGCGGCGAGTGGGGGGCAGATGGTCTTTAAAGGCAAACCAAACAACTTCCCCCAAAGATGATAGTAATACTTATAGAGTGGTTATCCTGTGTCAGTTTCATAAGTATTGTACGTATACCCACCCACTTAATCCTTACAGAAGACCATACAAAGAGAGGTACGCCATTATTATCTTCATTTTAGAGACGAGGAGACATCAAACAGCTAATTATTAAATGCTGTCTGAACTAAAACTTAGATATTATATGGCAATGTACTTAACCATTTCATTATGCTTTACTTACTAGATTATAATCCTCCTCTGGGCCCTGCAACTCCCAACTCAACAGACTAGAGGCCAATGATCCCTCTGGCCAGGCCGTTAATTTTAGATGATTTACCTAGCATCTACTATTTTTCACATTATTTTTTACCTCCTTGTAAATAACGTAACCTGTACATCCTTGCTTGACAGGTCACAGAGAAAAGTCCCTACCAAGGATGCCAATGGACTTCAGCTACATGCAACAGATTTTTCAGTTCTTACCTGCTCTATCTCCAACAGCTGAAATGTGATATAAACTCTCAAATCTGACTTAACGAATATTTAATGTCTGTGGCACTAAATTCACAAACAAAACAATATTCTGCCCTTTAAGGTTTAACTTTTGCCGTCATTTTAAAAGCCACATTGAGGAAGCAAAACAATTTCAGCTGCCGAAAGTACAAAGGAAAAGTGGTTCTCAAACCTTTAAAGAAAACAACCTACCCTTTTATAAGCCTTTCTCCATGCTCCTTGACTCCGAATTTAACCAGAAAAGCCGAAGCTTAAATTCTGGCATTTTTGCCAAGCACTTGGAGGGAGGAAAAACCCTCTTTATTAAGAATGCGAGCTTACAAATTTAAAGCTTCCAAACATTTGAAGAGCCAGAGCAAAACAGTTTGTTATACACCTTATAAGACTTACACACTAGTAAGTCTTCTTCATTGACAGGATTATCTAATCACAATTGTTTAATCAGACGCAAACCACCACCACCACCACCAGCGAATTCTCCCCTTTGTGAAATGGAGGAAATACTAAGCCTCCCCGTTTTTGTAAGTAACTGCTTCCTATAATATTAAGTGTTTAAGGCTCAGCCTGGCACGTAGTAAAGGGCTACGTTAGACATTTTATGCGACGCACAAAGCCTGAAAAATGAGCCCTGTCACATTTTAGCAAACAGGACGCTTTCCAGCAGGAGAATCCCTCAAGATAGACTGCCTTAAAAGTCCCGGCAGCACGTGTCAGCCTGGATCCCCTTCTCCAGTTGCTTTTTGTCAGGGACGGCGGCAAGCGCAGCCTACATTCCTGAAACGCCCATTGGCCCACACCCTGGGGCCAGGCTCTTGCTCGGGCCCAGGAGCTCATTGGTCGTCGCCTCAACGAGGCAGCCGCGCCGGTTCCTCCGCGACACTGCCACACTCGCCGCACTTGTACGCGGCAAGGCAAGCGGGGGATAGCGGTGTGAGCGCCGCGACGAAAGGCCCAGCACCTTCGCAACCGGCTGCGCTTTTATCTGCGCTCGGCTTTCTCCAAACCACCAGAAGACCTCTCTCTTCTCTGCGATCAGCCAAGCTCTCTCGCGTGACCGCCCGGGGTGGGAGGCCGGGGCCCCAGATTCCTTTGCAAGCTTAGGCACTAAAGGTATTATGTCCTGGCTCAGACGGGCCTCTAGCCCGTAAATGCAGTCAAACCTTCCAGCACCCCGCACCTCGCCCGGCACCTCGCCCGGAACCCGCCGACGCGGTTAACAGGTTACACACCCAAGGTCAAGAGTCTCCGGGGCAAGCCTCAGTGGGCTCCGAGGCCGTCTCCCGGGGCCGCCCAGAAAAGGATTTGGTGCAGAGCACATTAGGGCGGCGGTGGGGCCCAGCCACTGCGACACTGCTCCCGCCCAATCCCCTCCGCCCGGGCGCCACATGCTGCCAGCGCGGACCGCGGGAGGGAGGGAGGCCTGCGCGCCAGACCCTCGGTCCGAGAGCGGGGGAGCCCCCTCCTCCCGCAGCACGAGGGGAGAACCAGCCCGGCTTCGGACTCACTCCCTCCCTCCTCGCTCCCCGAGACGGGCACGCCCAAATTAGCGCCTGACTAAGCCTGCTGAGCCACACCTGCCGGGAGGCAGCCCGCGCGGCCCCAAGACGTCCCCAACCGAGGCCCCGGACCGCCAACTCCGGAGGGGAAAGCCCGACGGCGCGGGCCCACAAACCACCCCGAGTGGCGCCGCCCGCCGCCCCGCACGCCGCGCGGGGGACGTTACCTGAGCACGCGGCGCGCCGGCCTCCTCCCCTCCCCCCGGGCAGCGCCCGGCTCAGCAACGGCGACGGGAGGAGCCGGCTCGTGCCCCGCGTGGACGCGGCCGCCCCCCCCCCCAACATCGCAGCCCCACCAGAGCCCCCGAAACGAGCCCCACCCGGGGATGTGCCCCCACCTGAAAGCTGCGGGCACCCGGCCCCCGCCCCCCGCCCGAGGCTGATGCCTGCGAGGCGACGACAGCCCCCAGCACCCACCTGGGGATGGTGCGAAGATCTCCAGATCCTTGGTTTGCGTCGGGCTGCTGCCTGGAGAACCAAACCTCCAGAAGCTTCTCGGTCCCTTCGAAAAAATGTGCAGCTTCCATCACCGTGAGACTAGCGAACAACCAACAACCACAGAAAATCAACTAAATTAAATCTCTTCTCCCGCCGCTGCCGCCGCCGCTGCGGATTGTTCCAGCTGTGTTACTTAAGTTCAGGTTCCTTTTTTTTTTTTTTTTTGCTATAATTTTATATTAACTTTTTTTAAAAAAAAAGGATTAATAAAATTTTCCCGGCTTTTTTTGTGAGCGAAAGTTGAACGTGAGTCTGTTGGAAATAGAGGCAGATACAGTTCAGTCTCTTGTAGTCCGCTGTTTCCCCGTTAGAGAGAGTAGAGCGAGCGCTAGCTAATGTCGCCGGCCATACTGTGGAAGCGAGAGCGCTGCGTGAGCACTGCATTTATATACTCCGTCTCCCACGAAAGGCCAGGAAGTGACGCAACATCCCGCCCCTGAGGCTCATTGCTGCTGCCGCCTGTCAATCAACAGCCGCGAGTTGCGGCTGGCTGGCGGCCCGCCTGCCAGGAGCGCGGGGAGATACCCGCCGCGCTGCGGTTCGGGTTCGCGCTGTCCCCTAGGCGGGAGACGGCGCTGTGTGGTCCGGCTGGGGTTTAGAAACCTGGGGTCGAATGCAGAATGGGTGGGGAGAACGGGAAGGGAGTGAGGAAAGGCTGCGCCGTGCTGCGTTAAACAACTGATTAGCAGAGAACATGGGTGGATCCTTAGGAAGGGTTGGCGGGGTTCGGCGGGGGCGGTGGCCACTGCTGGGATGGCGTGGTGGTTTTGATCCTGTGCAGTTCACCGCGATTGCTGAGGTACTTGGCCATTCTCTAAAGTGCGTTTCCCCCAAGGCGAAAGAAGCCACGCATTAAAACTCAATATATGTCCGTGACTCACATGTTGCTAAGGGTCGGATTAGAAGGCACTTTAATTCTGCTGGTGCCTTAGCTGATGTACGAGTAAACGCAATTCTCGACCCGTTTACACAATAGCCAGAAGCGATGTCTCCCCATTTAAAAAGAGAAAAGCAACGTGGCGCCCAGCCTCGGAGGGCTCCGGCTCTACCTACCTCCCACCATGTGGCTCGCCAAGCCTTGGAGTTGGTCGAGTGCGGCAGCTGCCGTGAAAGCACTGGCAATTCCGTGCTCGATTAGGTCAACTGGTGGGAATTTATTTTGCAAAACTATTTCTAGAAACTGGTTTATTAAATATAATCTGAAATTGTTTGATAATTTTTTTTCTTTGAATGTTCTCAAACTGATGAACGAGTTGAAAGGGGTGCCCCCCCACCACAAATTTACAGTGATACCATCTCACGTGCTTCAGAAGAATTTGGAAATTCATAGAACAGGCATTCTGACCTATCACTAGCGGTGATTTAAAGAACCATGAATTAAAAAAAAAAAATAAAGAACCATAAATGTAATACTTAAGTAATCAATGTCAACTGTAAAATAGTTGGCAAGTCGTGGTTTTCAAAGTTTAACCCGAGGTGGCAAAATTGTGGCAACAAAGTTACGACTTTTTCCTCGGGATTATAGGAGAAAAAAACCCAGCCTGACATAAAAATTACCATTGTCACAACACAAAAGACTTTCTTATCATCCTTAGAGAAAGACTTCCCTCAACTGAAAGTGAAATGAGATAATGTTTTAAGCATGAAAAACTTAATGAAAAAGATGTGGTTTGAATTTGCACTCTAGATTCCCTCCAGGGTAGTATTTGTCTTACAAGAACGTAAATTTGCTCACATTTCTCTATGAAACCTGTTGAAAGAAGCTATGTTGTGTGGTAGGTACATAGACTACTCTTGCCATGTTTTTAAAAGCATCCAACTCAAGCTGGGAATTGGGACAAAAGGTAAATGTTGCTTATTTTATGATAATAATAATTCAAAGAGAATGTGGTGGTTATACTTGGAATAAAGATAAAAGAAGTATTTGTGTTTTACAAGCTATTCAATTATTTGATGCTTGCTTATTGAAATGAATCTGTCTACTAAACCACCTCAAACACTAATTGTGGTGTAAACATAATTTGGCTTATAATTGCTTATAATTAGTTGCTTTTCAATTACTATTATGCTTTTTCCCAATGCAATTTAAGTTAATATAAAAGTGCCAAGAATCTTGGCAAGGTAAGTCCTTGTTAATTTGGTAGAGGATATTTAAATAGTGTCTACCAATTGGATTGGTCCTTTGTAAAATATATTATTTTTCTCAAGCATCATTACCATTTTGAGGCTCAAAGTCCCTTGTACTAATTACTAAGTTGGTCAGTTAATCTCATTTGAATATTCTGCTAAACTTAATATGTCCAAAACATACCTTTGGCTCTCTCAGATGATTTACCACAGGGCAAGCCTGAGTGATTATTTTATTTTATTTATTTATTTTTATTTTATTTATTTATTTATTTTTTAAAGATTTTATTTATTTTTATTTGAGAGAGAGAGTGAGAGAGAGCATGAGAGGGGAGAAGGTCAGAGGGAGAAGCAGACTCCCCATGGAGCTGGGATCCCGATGCGGGACTTGATCCCGGGACTTCGGGATCATGACCTGAGCCGAAGGCAGTCGCTTAGCCAACTGAGCCATCCAGGCGCCCCTATTTTTTATTTTTTTTAAGATTTTTATTTATTTATTTGACAGACAGTGATCACAAGTAGGCAGAGAGGCAGGCAGAGAGGGGGAAGCAGGATCCCTGTTGAGCAGAGAGCCGGATGTGGGGCTCGATCCTAGTACCCTGAGATCATGACCTGAGCCAAAGGCAGAGGCTTTAAGCCTCTGAGCCACCCAGGTGCCCCTGTTTTATTTTATTTTTTATGGTTCTCAACTAATTTTTCTCCAAGCCCATCTCCACTATTTGCTTACTCTCTATGCCCTAGGCATACTGACCGTTCCCTTTTTAGGTCCTTTTCATTTGTCTCAAATGCTCTCTCTCCACTTTGTATAACTTTTTCATCCTTTTCACTCAGCAATTAGCTTAAATGTTCCCCTCCTCTGAGAGGTCACCTGTGGTCGTAGGGCATAGGCTAAACTAAGATAACAAAGAGACCCCCAAATACAGTAACTGAGAAAAAGATTAAAGTTTATTTCTCTTTCATATAACATCCAGAGGCAGGGAGGTGATAAAGGGTGAGTGGGCACCCTGCTTTGGAAGATCATACAGGGACCCTGGTTCCTTCTAGTCTGTTCTTATCACAGCATGCAATCTTCATTCACATGATTAAAGCTCGTCCACATCTGTCTATATTCCAGCCTGGAAAAAAAAGAAAAAGAGAAAGTGCAGAAAAACAATTTTCTTTCTTTTTTTTTTTCAATTTTATTTATTTATTTATTTATTTAACAGAGAGAGATCACAAGTAGATGGAGAGGCAGGCAGAGAGAGAGAGAGGGAAGCAGGATCTCCACCGAGCAGAGAACCCGATGCGGGACTCGATCCCAGGACCCTGAGATCATGACCTGAGCCTAGCTAGTTGCCTGGGCAAAAACTGGCCGATTCTGTTACTTAAGAGGAAACGGGGAGAGAACGGATGTGGGGGCCTTTCTCCAGGCCTGCCACACCTTTCTTTACTTTCTAATCTCCAGTAACCAAGTAGATACTCCTTAACACATCATTCTGCTTTAATTCTCTGCATAATTCTTACTGTTCTCTTGTGTTTACTTATTTGTTGATTGTCAGGTCTCTGTCAGCTTTTAAGCTATGTAAAAGCTTGTTTGTCTTTGCTTAACCTGCAGAGCATTGCCCCCCAAAAAGTATTTGGCATAATGTATTCAACCAGTATTAGCTGAAAACATGAATGTTTAAGTGCCCTCCTAATAGATCCTTGCTCTTTCAAACTAATCTTATCTCCCAACATTCCCTCAAAGCCCCTCCCCCAATTCTTCACACTATGAAAATCTTACTCAATTTCTAATACTAGCTATAATTCCACATAACATTCTTTAGAACAGTACTCTAGCCCACACTGACTGTATTATCTCTGGGTACCTGATAAAATACGCAAACTTAGTTGCTTAAAACAGGACACATGTATTATCTTACTGTTTGTGTGAGTCAGGAGTTTGCACATAGCTTAGCTGAGTCCTCTGTATAGGGTCCCTCACAAGGCCACAGTCAAGATACTGGCCTGTGCTGCAGTCCCATCTAAAGGTTTGACTAGGAAAGGAGCTATTTCCTCATTCCCATGGTTCAGGTCCTTGCAGGCTACTGGACCGAGAGCCTCAGTGTCTTTCCATAGGTCCTTGCCATATCTTGCTTCGCCAAACACAGAAACAGGGTATGCTAGTAAACTAGAAGTTACAATCTAATATAACGTAATTACGGAGTGGCATCCCACCAGCTTTGCACCATTGTTACATTCTACTGCTTAAGAAAATTGGAATGACGTCACAGGTTCTACCCACACTGAAGGGAAGTGGATTCCATAAGGGTGTGAATACTGCCAGTCAGGGATCACTGAGAGCCAGTTTAGAACCTACCTATTATCACACTCACTATCCTCTGGGAACTCCAGAAGCATTTATTAATTTTTTAAAAAAGATTTAACTATTTATTTGAGGGGGAAAGGGCAGAAAGAAAGGGAGAGAGAAATCCAGGCCAATTCCACTGAGTTCAGAGCCCAACATGGGGCTTGATCTCAAGACCCCGAGATCATGACCTGAGCAGAAACCAAGAATTGGAGGCCCAACCGACTGTGCCACCCAGGTGCCCCTCCAGAAGCATTTATAATTAAGAGCACATAGGGGCGCCTGGGTGGCTCAGTGGGTTAAAGCCTCTGCCTTCGGCTCAGGTTGTGGTCCAGGGCCCTGGGATCAAGCCCCACATCAGGCTTTTTGAGCTTGCTCTGAGCCTGCTCTCCTTCCTCTCTCTCTGCCTGCCTCTCTGCCTACTTGTGATCTCTGCCTGTCAAATAAATAAATAAAATCTTTAAAAAAAGGTAATTAATGGGGCGCCTGGGTGGCTCAGTGGGTTGGAGCCTCTGCCTTTGGCTCAGGTCATGATCCCAGGGTCCTGGTATCGAGCCCCGCATTGCGCTCCCTGCTCGGCGGGGAGCCTGCTTCCTCCTCTCTCTCTCTGCCTGCCTCTCTGCCTACTTGTGATCTCTGAGTGTCAGGTGAATAAATAGAATCTTAAAAAAAAAAAAAAGTAATTAAGACCACATAATTTGCCATTTAATAGCCTCATTGTTGGTTGAATATGCCAACTAAATTGGCACATCCATATCTTCTATTTTGATAACCCAATCTCAGAACAAGGCACATATGTAAGTTTTCATAAACTTTCGGATTGAATTTATTTTATTTTATTTATTTTTTAAGATATTTATTTATTTATTTGACACACAAGGAGAGAGAGCAC